AATGCTAGTGTCTTTATCATTTCTCCTTACTTTTCAGCCGCAAAGGAGAAGGGCTAACGCTAATCAAATCCCTTTTTAAATTTGGCCTGGACTGGTCTCCAGAAAGTTCTAGGGCTCTGTAAGGCCGATGTCAGACTTTGCAAATCGAGCGATTCACTAGCCGCGTTGCGACATCAGCCAATCGAGCGATTCGCTGGCCGCGACGCGACCGCAGACGCTAGCGAATCGCTCGATTCGCAAAGTCTGACATCGGTCTGAAGCGATCCAGTGCAGGGCACAGAGCAGAGCAGAATTGGTTGCTGGACCAAAGTCATCACGAAATCGGGCGAGGTTTGTGTGGGAATCGAGACATAAAAAGCAATTATTAGAAATTATGAATTCTCATCCATCATTCCATAAAATTCTATTTCCGTGAAAACGGCTGACAAGTGGCGATAAAGCAACCTACGGATGGCCATAAAGTTATACGTAGCGGTATAAAAGCTGGGCCGGCTGAGCGACCATCGTCACATTGAAATTCGACCATGGAACGTCTCCTTTACGGTCTCGCTCTCATTGGAGTCACTCTGGCAAGTTCCTGCTTTTAGCTCTGCTACAGCTCACTGAGATGTTCTATGTAGCGATCTCCAAGGACGAAGTAGAGAGGAAGCGAATTTCAGCGAAGGTAACTGAGGTGTTTTTCTAGGCTTGCCAAGCAGCGCCAAAACCAGCTGCTAGTGGTGGAGGGAGAGCTCGGCTGCCGTCGCACTAATCTCCGTCCGTTGACTACCAAAAGGAGCAAGTTCCACTGTACATGAGCTATTTCCCGCAAACACGTGTAAGTGCTTCAAGCTTTCTGCTCCATCTCCTCCCAATCTTCCAGATTCACTTCAGATCGAACCTTATTCTCGAAGTCTCGGCCACTTTCACTAATCTATCTGCAGCCAATGTGGATGGAAAATTCGCCTACACCTTCGCCAATTCAACACAGCGACTGTGAGAAGGTAAGGCGTGAGTGCCATGATTTCTTTAACTACAGAAGAAACCATGGGCGTACTGTAGCTCATTTCGTTCTTTTGAAGGTGTCACAATGGATGAATGAAATTGTGAGTCAGTCGCAGTACTTCAAAAAAGCCACTACGGAATGCCACGAGCCGAAAACAGCGGCAGAGGGTACAGTGCCGCAGCCGCAGTCGGAACAACCAGCAGTGGAAGCACCAGCAGTACCGCAGCCGCAGTCGGAACAACCAGCAGTGAAAGAACCAGCAGTACCGCAGCCGCAGTCGGAACAACCAGCAGTGGAAGAACCATCACCAACAGGACCACCCCCGACTGCTCCACCACCACCACCAGTTGAATTGAAGCAGTGATTCATCAAGTTGATAGCCATTATTTTTTGAGGAATAAATTGTGAGCATATCAATCATTAACAGCAATCGCTTAATCAGTATCTTGTCTTCGCTAGAGCGATTACAGAACTCAGTGTCGGGGCGGAGATCGAATAGTAATAAATGTCTTTACCGTTACCTTGTGCAAGTAAGGGATCGAATCTCAAATCAACTGCGCAGGCCAGCCATGGATTTCGTCCCTTGACGTTAACCAAATTGGTACCCTGATCGTCTGGGACGGTAAATCCCTGGGCTGGCGCCACCGGCTCTCTTCTCACAGGTCGCTCTGACCAAGCATGCGGGTTGCAAGCATGCTGCAAAAGATAGATGAAAACAGCTCAAGAGATTTGTGGAGTTGAGAGCACTGGTTTTGTCAACCAGTTGTTTCAAAGGCATACTGATGGAATTAGAGGGGCTGCTTAGTGAGAGGGGTGCAGTCTCCGCCCTTCGTGCAATGCTCCTTCCACGATTATTTCTGTTCGATTCCTCTCTTCATTACTGGTCCCCAATATTTCACAACCCCTTCCCCCCCCCTTCTTGGGTACCCGGCAGGAGGCCCATCGCGAGCCAAGAAGGCAGAGTCAGTGGACGAGCGCAGCGCATTCGTGGAATATAGGACGTGCAATGGTCGTTAATCGTTCCCGATTCCCATCCTATCTGAATGGATTATCATTAGTTCCATCAGAAATCACTAGTTTTCGTCGGTCAGAACACTAGTTCTCTCTTGGTGTTGTGGCGGTACTGGCATGGGAGGAGCGTGCGACCAGCAGCCTAGTATGACGAAATAAGTTCCTCGAGTCCGTTTCACGCTTCATGGCTTAAAATCGATACGGTCTCACCTACGATGCGTATTCACCAGAAAAAAAGCGTCCAGCTTATCATTAAAGAAATTTTCGTGGCTGGTTAGTGTTGCACGTACTGCTGTGACCGCATGGCTTTGGGCACTGGCTTTCAGTTCCATGCCTGAGTTCGCTGTTCACAGAAAATAGCTAGATTATTCGAGAGCTCGCTTCGAATGAGTGGATGCCACAGAGAAATCGGCGAACTTATTCGATAGTGAATCCAACTCATTTCCATTTGTTGTCCTTGGAAGAAGCATATGATTTCTAGGATTTTTTCATCAGTAGTGCACCTGCACCAGCATCCAAAGCGACACGACAAATCGAGACCTGGTAGAGCTGAACAATGCTGAACAAAGTTCATACACAAACAAGATATGAAGCAAGACTACTGACTGGAAAGAGGCTCCCAAACCCTGTCTAACATTAGGAAGACAGAGCGACAAGTTTAACGCCACTCTTATGTGCTGTTCATTGCAAAGGGGAAGAGCGATGGGTTGGAAAACTACAGAGAACGCTTTCCAGATATTCAAAAAAATACTAAGAAAGCGCGCCTAGAGTTCAGATTCAGCGCCATGAAACGTTTGCGGCATGAACGCATCCGCAAGCTGATAATTGGAATGGATACTGCGAGGGCTGAGTTTTCACCTTTACTCTCTTTCTTTGGCGTTCGGCATAAGTTCGACACACAAAAAATTAACGCCCAGTCGAAAGGTTTAATGCACTCTTATGTGTATTTCCGCTTTTCACAACAGAACACCATCGTCACCTTTTTGGAGGAACGTGTGACTTGCCTATATTTTTTAAAGCGCTTTGAAGAGCGAAAGAATGAAAGCGTCACAGGTTGGCTCCAGCGCGCTACTTTTGGCCAAGACTCTGTAACCGAATTTCAACAAAAATATTTTTTCATGTATAGGTGACGCCCAAGCCGTAACAATGGACGTTGCGATTCAATGAGATTTTCACTAAGTTGAAGCCCATAGTCTAAGACGAACCCGTCGTTGTAGTTTTACAGTTGCAAGGCATTCCACGCGTAGTTCGGATGACAGAGAAGAGGAATTTGGACAAAGGACAGTTCACAAATACGTGTGTACCTTAGCTACTATTTCCAAGCAACATTTGCATTTCTGGTAACCTTCCCCCTTCAGGAGTGCCTTTGGACAACATCCCAGAGTGCAGATGGATTAATGTAAAAATGTTTTTCGTGACATTCCGACACAACTCATGATTGCATTGGCCTATCCAGCCCCGTGATGGACGCACGCGAAGACATGTATTCTTGCGCTGATAGCTGGTCGCAAGAACCGTACCAATTTTCGGAAAAATCGGTCTGAGAAAAAAATGCTGGCGGCGGCAGCAACTTTTTTTCCCACACTTCGTATCATATATGCTTTGGTAGCAGACACGCTTACTTTTGGCCCACCCCTTCAATCATCTTCACCAGTGTTTGGGTAGCTGAACTGTCAAAGGGTTACACTACTGTAGACAAACTCTTTGCTTTTAAAGCAACAATCCAGGAACGAATTCGCGGGTAAGGACCACCTATAATGACGTTGCAGGTGAGAAGTTGGTCAATGGAGAAAGAAAAAGTAGAAAAAAAACGTCGGGCAGGGGCTTAGACAGGGACTCCCCCGGCTGTTTAAGAACCCTACCGGGGCCGTTTAGGGAGATGTGTGTTGGACGAGTTGTCCGAACCTGCCCGTAGTACATGCGCTCCAGTTGACTGCTGGCAAATAGCCATGCATGCTTGCAAATACATAACTATTTGCCAGCAATCGAAATTGAAGCGCTTCAATTGGGTTCTTATGGAATCGACCTCATACAGCGCGGCGGTCCCGCAACGACCGCTAGTCGAGCAAGCGCTCTGCACAGCGAATGTTGGGCGATCCGCCTCTTTATGGGTGATCCGCCCCCTCCAAGAGGACTTCGACCCCTTCCAGCGCATTTTAGAGGTAGGTTTTGAAATTAAAGACATTTCCTATAAACTTTAGTTGGGCTGGGGCATGTTTTGACCGCCTAATGACCAAGTAGTTGAAACCCTGCCTGGACTGTTGCTTTAAGGCCGGCAATGCCCTTCGTTTGTGGTTACGGTAGAGAAGTCACTAGAAGTTTTGCATCTCACCATCGTTTGGACGTGGACCTCCTGCTAAGCACGCCCCTTTTCGTCAGCCAACTACAACCCTCCCTTTGAACTTGTCTAACATGCGGTTGTCGTAAGCTTCTTACATTATGTAATATGCACTGGTCAAGGAGCAAAACCCTCCAGAAACGCCAAGCCTTCATGATGAAATGCATGCTTTCAATTTTTGTTTCACAGCTTTAAGACTCAAAATCGACATAGTTCACCTGCGCCGCAGGTCGATGGGAAAAATTGTAAATCAATTGGCTTAGTGTGCTTAATTTCCATGTTGGTCAGCGCTCAACGTGTGCTGCTGTGTCGGTATGGGCTTGGCATTTGCTCCCTTTCTAGTACCGAATTTGTTGGCCACTCAGAAATATCTGCTTGCAACACTTTATCAAGCTTCAGTTGAATGAATAGGTATGCAAACAACTAGCGAAGTTATTTTCGGAGTCCAATTTAACGATTCGGGAAGAAGCATCCAATTTCTACGATTGTCTCATCTGGAGAGCACGTGCAGGCGCATCCAATATCCGCCCCATCAGGCAAGCGGTCGATCTGAAAAAAAAACTGACAAAAAATTCATACACAATTAAAATGTGGAGTATAAGATACTCTTAATCCGAAATAGGCTCTTAAACCCCACACTATATCAAAAACTGATCGTCCTACTCTGCATCACCCTTAGTATGGTGCGAGGCTGCGAATCGCGACTAGCTTGTGGCGACCCAGCGAGTCGCGATTTGCAAAGTCTGACACCGTTCTTATTCGCAATATTCGCAATGAAATCATTCGCGTGACAGAAAGCGCATGACTAATACATCGATTCACCGATACCAGCAACAGATACCCGAGAAGGATAATTCGAAAAAATTCAAATTTTTTCAAAAATAAGAATTTTTTTCAAAAATCTCGGGGTACTGTAGGATTACTGTAGCGACTGTATAAGTTCCGCCCACTGCAGCGCAAGCTCCGCTCCACTTTTATTTTCATAGAAGTTTCATATGAACAACATACATTCATACACACATATACACATACACACATACTTACATACATACAGACATACATACAAGATTCATCGAACGTCGAACCTCTGTGCTATAAAATCTAAAATGGTGACCAAATGTCGAAAATGTAGACACTCATATTTACCCACCAACTCATTGTCAGAGTCTGGTCCTTAGATGGAATTAAGCTTTCAATAACACCCATGAAAAGGAGTACACGTGTTCAACTTACTTAGTAGCGTTATCTGAAAATTTACCGGCATTTTCTGAGTACGGTGCTCGCTGTCGTCCGTGGTAGAACAGCACTAGGGTAGTGACTACGGATAACATCAACACTGGTTTCGGTCACCTTTTCGAAATTGGATCCAAATGTTAGTTTTCTGGAATTTAGCCTGCACAGAACGGTTTGGTCCGCTGACCACGCATTTCAGTCAAGTCCATAATCGGAGACGACTTCACCTTCCGTGATGTAGAAACACCCCTACACTTGTAGAATAACTGGCCGGAGACATGACCCATCCGAACATGACAGCGTTGCACGTGTAAATTTCAACGCCAAATAGTTTCTTGTCATTGAAACAAACGTAATTACGAAGAGCAAATACTTCGTGTCCAACAAGGTCCCATTCACATCATCACCAATGCAAGTCATCAACACTACCTCTCGATCAGACCACACCTCTTATCTCCGCCAGTGTCTACTACAGTGGGCTTTCCATTTGAAACAACGTCTAACTCCATTCAGAGAATCGTTCCAGTAATTTGGAAGGTGACTTCGAGATCTGCTGTCGAAAACACATCTGCGTAAAAAGGTTTCATCCCGAATGGCCTTCTAACCTGGTATCCTTCTTTTGTAAGACCAGGGAGGCAATTTAAGCAGTTCACCACAAAAAAAAAGAAAAAAGCAAAAAAGCAAAAAGGATGGAAAAAAGCTCTCACTATAACGAAGAGCTGCTCTGTGACTTCGACGTATTTCGCTATTGTTATTCTAGACATTTAAAGGACGAATTCACGATGAAAAGCAACCCATTTCAAATTAACCTAGGGATGGTGAGTGGTACACGAAAGAAGGAAGAACCATGAGAAACGGCCCAGAACCCGAGAAATGGGACCCCTTCCTTGCCCGTTGATTCGAGCATTGATGCGACTCTCATCGCTGTGCCCTCTTCAACACTACGCTCTCTCAGCTATCTAATCACTCGCCACGTATTGAACTACGGCGAGTGATCAGATGATCGGTGGGCGGAGATCGCCGACCCGCCAGCTTTGAGGCATGATAGGTCGCCGAGGTCAAATTTTTCCATGCGAATTGCGCGTCAGTTCGCACCCTCAGGAGGTCCGTGGGTCCCTCAACTAGGTCAGTTTCCCTTTCTTCGACCTTCATTCTAATCGTGAATTCCTCCTTTAAGCGTATAAGTCTCATAATGTATGCTTTGCAATTGCCTAAGAACTTTCAGGCATTAAATAATACTTGCCTAGGAAACAATTCGATTAGTTGTCTTCGTTCGCTAGCATCAAATGCTTCCATGCGTTGTGACATTTTATAATATATGATTTATTTTACTATTCATTTTATATTTATATGATCTTAGTTTCAGCGTTTGAGACGACTTTTCCCTTTCTTCACTAGTAGTTTATATCACTTCTCTACATTTACTTTCCAACTAAATACTCGCCTTTTGAAGATTTAAGTTTAGTTTCGAGGAGAAGATGTTGCTCGTCTAGAAGTTTCCTTTTCGACTAATGGCTTTCCACCCTTCACATGGATCTCGAGAGAATCTATTTTTAGAACTCACATATTTGTATATGCCTTTGAAGTTATCCAAGATCGTTATCATTTTTTCCTTCAGTGACGTCCTTCCTGGATTCGTGAATCTCCTTAACAGACGTTATGATTTATAAAGCACATACAACTTGTATTCATATATGTGTACTTGGCTAAGCGTGATGTATGTTTGATGTGCACGTAAATTCGGTATTCCCTGATAAATAATAATAGGGACCGGATCAGGCTCGAGTGGCGCATGAGCTAAGGAACTTAGATCATTGCAGCAACTATAGTTGGAGACGCACACCATCCTACGGTGGGTGAGGTTGAACCCAATTTTAACAGAACATATTACAAATTTTTTTTCGATATGAATTCAAGATCAGATGTATTGAGAGAGTAAATCGCCATAAGTTAGCGTAAAACGGTTGATCAAATGCGGATGGATGAAATTTGGGTGCATATTCTGAGAATTTGGCACACTATTGAGCTATTACAACCCCAGAGGGGGTGGGGAGATGGATCAAAAAATTTTTTTCGCTGTAAACTTGTGAATAGGGGTTATCGAGGCTCCTGATCACGAATATGACCTTAGTTTTGGCTCAATTTCTCTAGGTGACGCTCGAAATAGATGTCATCTAGGCGCTCATCCAGTAAGGGGGGCATCAAGTGGCTGCCCTCACCCCCCTGAACTGGCTTCACTCCCCCTGGCTCACGGGGTCCCGTACTTCGAGAAACCTGTGTGCCAGGGGGAGTGTAGGCAGTCTAGGGGGGTGGGGGGTGAGGGCAGCCACTTGATGCCCCCCTTACTGGATGAGCGCCTAGATGACATCTATTTCGAGCGTCACCTAGAGAAATTGAGCCAAAACTAAGGTCATATTCGTGATCAGGAGCCTCGATAACCCCTATCCACAAGTTTACAGCGAATTTGGTGAGAACACCCTTGGCGCCAATTGGCGCCAAATGGCGCCAATTTGGCGCCAGCGCCAAAAACTAAGGTCATATTCGTGATCAGGAGCCTCGATAACCCCCCTAGCGCAAGTTTCAGCGAAAAAATTTTTTGATCCATCTCACCCCCTCTGGGGTTGTAATAGCTCAGTTGTGCCGAGAATTTTAATTGCCTAATTCGATTGCCGCTATGGGTCGTGTTGTGCACGAGAAATGTACGCGCCAAACTGCTGAATTACGACCATGAAAACAAACCTTCCATATTTATATCCCCAGTAGCCTGTCGGTGTTTTGCCAGTCCTCGCCCTGCTAGCTAGATCTTGATTCCAGCTCTAAAGATAAAAGATTTCTGGAAGATGTTCCGGAAATTGTACAAATAAACTGGAACTTTGTGAAAGGGTAAAAACGAACAGAATCGGTCTAATTTTGATATGTTCCGTGAGACCATCTTGTATTCAGAATTTAATGGTACTTGAATGCATAGTCAGGACATTTGATAAACAAGTCACGCTTCTGCGATCTAGACGTGCTCGATACTAGCAGGACCGGAGGCTGGACTCCGCTTACATGCCACTAGTTACCTTCAGTGACCTCACTGCCACTGGATGTAGCCGCTGGCCAGGTGGTGTTCACTGTAGACTTTACAACACAAGTTAAGATCGCCTCCACAAAATGTTGTAGTTTTCGAGCGAAATGATTAGCCAGTTGTAGCTGCACCAGTTTAGCTTCGCACACAAACGCGCTCATTACATGGTGGGCTTCAGTGGAAAATAACCTGTAGAATGATATGGC